AATGGTCCTACAAAAACTAAATATATATATATTTTTAAATATATTTTATTTTTTATTTTGGGCTGAAATGTGACCTGCAAATTTTGTGCAATTAGCATTTTAGGCATTTCTTAGCTGGCCTGCCCTAAAACCAGAGCTGACAAACAAAAACTAAACCAGCCTACATTTACCATTTTATTCAATGAATTCCAGTTATCAATGATAGAGGGTGTTTTCTTTCCATTCTTGCATGAATGTGATTATTTGGGACGTTTAATCAGACAGCCGCTGATTAAAACTGAAACTTGACTTCGCTTCCATGAGTTGAAGGATGACTGTTCCTGAAATGTTTCATTTGCATCCGGTTTCTCAAACCTGTTTTACGACTTTAAGCATCTTTGGGCTCATGGAATCTGGAAACATTTGTCTCAGCATATCCCACCCTCCTCCTCCTACTCTTCCTCCTTCAAACCCCTTCATTTCCCAGTTGGATGACCAATAACTGTGCAGATGTTAGTGAGTCATAATGTGGATCGGCCGGCTGCTGAATTTTGCCAGTCCTAATTCAAACTCTGAATTATTTTGTGAAGCCTATGCAGCGAGACAAACGGGCATGAAGTTTGCTTCATCTGCACGACACTGCTATGCACGATTGCATTCGTTCACTGCAGCCCAGAGCAGCATGTGGTGAATCAGACTGACTGCAAGAAAACACACACAGCGAGAAAGACACAGAACCAGCTCAATGTCTTGGTGTGGGATCGTACGAGCGAACAAGAGACTCTTAGACGCGAAGGTCAGCGGGTGCCGGAGGGAGCCTCTGGATGACTTTTATCCCAAAATGCTCTGCTCCCTTTGCCCCAGCAGGAGCTAATGTTCAGCACACACCCGTCTCAGTGAACTGAAAGAGCCTCATGAATGAAACTGGGTTCAGGTACAGCACGCAGGCGACCGCTTTTCTTTAACCCGTGATGCCAAAAGCGGATGCTTGCCAAATGCATTAGCACAATAGACGTAGAAGTGATGCAAAGCCCTCCAAATAAATTAGATTTAGTTGTGTATGCTTTGAAAAGCTTTTCATGTCAAATGTAGTTGGTCTCTCTTTAAACGACATCGGTCATCCGACTGGAAAATGAGCGTAATGGAGTCATTTTCTCGAGACATAGGCCTTACAATATTTCAACATTTGGAATTAAAAAGCAATTATGGAATTAAAAAGCAATTGTGTACATGAAGTGCCTGGATTCCCAATGCTGTGGGAATGTCCCAGTCATATTTCACCACAAAAAAACAAAAAGTTTATACTTTTATACCTTTAATATTTTGACAGTATTTTCATGACAGGCATTGCTGTTTAAAATGGTGGTGTTTATTGACTTTATGTTGATTAATATAAAATAAAAAATGTATATTATTTTACCTAAACTATATTAGATATGTGTTATTTTAAAGTAAATTAAACAAATAAATATTTTATGCCGATTTAAACAGAAAATAATCATTGTATAACTAAATTTTGTATAAGCTGTTATATATTAATTATTAATATTAGCAAATTAAACAATTTTTTACTGTAAATTGATTGTTTACATCAGCTATTTTATATTGTAAAATATTCTAATATAATATAAATGAAATATTTATACATGAATACAAAAAGTATTTATGGTTATAATGGGAAATTTACACACACATAAAACAAGAGGATGTACAGTTGTACACACAAATTGTTATATTATAAAACATTTGAATTCCTCACAAATTAAACAATATAGACAATTATTGCCTTTTATCACTGTAACTTTTATTTTTTTACATGCATTACTTAAGAACATTCTAATTAGTCTAAATGTAAATTATTCATATATTTTATATAAATACTAGGGCTGTGAAACGATTAATCGCATCCAAAATAAATGTTTGTGTTTACATAATATATGTGTGTGTAGTAGTGTATATAATTATTTTGTATATATAAATACACACACATGCATGTATATATTTAACAAATATTTGCATGTATATACTTTATATACTTTGTATATTTATACAAAATTAATATTATACACAAATATAAATATTTTATATATTAATAACACATTTTTCTTAAATATATACATGCATATGTGTGTATTTATATATCCAAAATAATTATACACACTACACACATATATTATGTAAACACAAACTTTTATTTTGGATGCGATTAATCACGATTAATCGTTTCACAGCCCTAAAAAATACTTTTTATTTAAATAAAACTTTTGTGTTTTTCTCATTATTCTCTCTATATTTTTCCCATTATACCATAATATATATATATATATATATATATATATATATATATATGGGAATAATGGGTAAAATAGTAAACACACTAAAGTAAATTTAAGTAGTCTTAAAGAGAACTTTAGGGTAAAAAGTGATGAAAATGTCAATCCAATCAATGTTAATGGTCCTAAAAACAGGGATAATTTCCTGTATACAAAATATAATTCCTTGTTTATTCTTTTGTGTTATTCTTTGGTAATCTTTGGCCAGACCTCCGGACATGTGTTTCTGTTGTTCTGCTGGGTGATGCTTGATTTGCGCCCTCCAGTGGTTGGCAGCAGAACTGCAGCCTTTGTGTTAGTATACACCACCCTCTTAATGCTGCTCTCCTGGGCGAAAAGTGCTACATCTGGGCCAAACACCTTCCAGTCCCCAGAGGCCTCCCTTATTCTCTCCTCTCTGATCTGATCACAGATTAATTAGAGAGTTTAACCCAGAGCTCAATGCGCCAGCCTCCACAATGAATTGCGAAACTGTTGCTCTTTCTCAGCAATGATTACAAATATCTCCAGCAGTGATTCAATCCCTTTCCCCCAGAACGGAGTACAGCTTGCTTGTGTTTCTCCCTTGTGAGTGCGGAAACATGCCGCAAACCACAGTTTATGTGTGTTATGCCCTTGAGAACGAGAGAAGAAAGCACTTAATGTATAGTGAAGATAAGTGGCTCCTATGAAACCTAATTAAATGGAGAGGATGAATAATTAATGCTAGTGGTATGGGTTTGAGTGAGAGGGTTTGTCTACAAAGCTGTGTGATATAGTGTTCAGTTCTTAGAGACTATTTATCTCCGCTTCCTTACAGTTCACATTGATCAGTTTATAATATAGTCAAACCAGTATTCAACAGGATTCATAGTCATTAGTTTAAAGCAATGTTCCTGGTTCAAAACAAATTACACTCTATGGACATGCAGTCCAGTATCAGAAAAAAACAAAAACAAAAAAAAACAACTATTCTTCAGTTTGTAAAAAAAAAAACACTAATGCACTTACAATGGAAGTCTATGGGGCAAAGCATTCAGTTTAAAAACAGAGTGCAAAGCTCATATTATTGTTAAAGCACTCATATCAACCAAAAATTCTAATTAATCCCATGATTTACTCGTCCTGGGAGTATATGACTTTCTTCTTTTAGCCAAATGTCAGGTCAGAGGTCACTCTTTTGCTCGATTCGAGCACAGCAGTTACTGGAAGCCTGTTACTTATAAAGTTTTTTATAAAGTCTACTTTATAAAGTGAATTTTTTCCTACGAAAACGCATCACTTTGCTTTAGAAGGCCTTGATTAATCCCCTGAAGTCATATTACTTTAATGATGGATGGATGTTCAAATCTTCAAATCATATAAATCTTGGAGGAGGCAGGATATTTTTAGATATAAATATGGCAGAAAGAAAAATAAGTCATATGCACCTGGCTTTAAGGTGTGTAAATTATGGGATAATTAAACTTTTTGTTCATTTTCTAACCCTTTAATTCTTCTATAAAAAAAATAATAATAATATTTGAACTACAAAGTTTATAAATCATAATTTTAGTGAAGTCCTAGCGTATTTTGCGTACAAGCAATTTAAAATAAGATGATGTTCTTTGTTTGTAAGCATGCCTGTAACATAACATAACTGAATCATGACATGAGAAATCAAATTTGTCATGTCCTTTTAAGATAAATGCAATGAGTTATATCATAACAGTGGCCATTTACTGCCAAGCCTTAAAGAAGCCTCCCCTTGAAAACAGATAATTTCAGACAGAAGGTCAAATTACACTTTTTTCAATTTTTAAAAAATATTTAGTAAAAAAAACAAAACAGTTATTAGCTTTATAAGGGAACCTTAAAAAAATATATTAAAATAGTTTAACAAATCCATGTCATGACCCCTTTAATAAATCCTCTTGAAATCAGATCATTTCAGAGAGGTCAAAGTATAATTTTTTCAATTTTTAAAAATTATTTGGTAAAAAAAACAAACAGTTATTAGCATTATACAGGAACCTTAAAAATATATATATAATAGTTTAACAAATTCATGCCATGACCCCTTTAAAAAATGTAAATGTTTGAATGTTGTGTTTCATACCCTTACACATTTAATTTAAATGTTAGCAGGTTCACTGGTTGTACATAGTCATGAAATAACTGTGTATAGACAAAGTCAGTTAGCTATTTTAACTTGTTTAAACTTTAATACACTGTTTATTTTAACATTTATTGCCTGACCCCATATACTTCTACCATTAGTTTATTACTGTTATTTCAAACTAAACTCTAAATATCTTCTTAGGATCAGAAGTGGTTTGTCTTGTCAAATTTTATAATTTTAGTAAATTCTGTAATATTTTTTGATAGTTTTTTAATATATTATTTATCCCTACGTCACTAATAACCAGAAAGCCTTTAATCAGAGCCCCTGGTGTAATTGTTTTGCATCAATATAAGGTTCATTAAGGCTTTGTTCCTGCAAGAGGTAAAGAAAGGAAAAGAATATCCTTCCGCGCCCACAGCCTCTTCCCTCTGAAGTTTTGACTTGCATGCGCCTCAGTCCTCCTTCAACCCCTGCATTCTCTCCTCATGTCTTGTGCATGTCCTAGGAGTGCTTCTGAAATGTGTGGCTTGTGAATGGAGAACCTGTCAAAAGATTTTTGTACTGACCGCTTGCCACTATTGGGCTCTGAATGGTCTTGTGTTCAGATTAAGAAGTGTAAAAATGGAGCAACGCAAGCTGAATGACCAAGCAAACTCTCTAGTGGACCTTGCAAAGGTAAGATAATGAGTTGAATGTCTGACTAATGCATGATGGGCAAATAGGAGGTCCGTTTTTGTTTTAAAGCGCACATATATTGTAAGTCTACAGGTGTCAAATGAACAGACGTGATCTTTAAATTTGTTTCATCTACAATATTGTTTTCGTTTATGTGATACAGATAATTTGTTTCCTTATAAAGCAACTAAGCATATGGTTGATGTTAGTTAATTTATGGTTTTTCCTTCACGAAATATTCTCACATTAGCTTTTGTTATTTATTTCCCTCTTTCTACGCACAATACATCATGCTGCTTAATGGTCCGGAAAAGCTTTCATCTCCTGAGAGAAAAAAAAGAATAACTGATGAGACACCTGAGATGTTAAAACAGCTTGATAAATATGAAGCACTGCATTTGCACTTCCCTTATGGACATTTTTTAGACGGGCTTAGGAGCGAGCCCTGGGGAACACCAGGCTTGCTGCCAGTCTGACTCTGCAAAACACACAGCAACCTGGGAAAGGGATACACTTGAGATCTGTTGAGTCAGCTGGAACCACCTCTCGCACGAGCACACACGCCGAAGCTGCGACATTCAAACATCCGCAATGGTCATAGCACCTAGCAACCTCTGTCTGGGCTCTGCCGTGAGAGTCAATAGTTAGTGTTACCCAATTACCCTCCTGTCCAGCACCTCCCAAAGAAACCGGAGAGGGTGACATTGAGGCAGAGCGTGATATGACTCATACTCATTTCAGCCTCCTTTTATCATTGCCGTAATTACCTCTCACCATAAGAGGGCGGTATAACATTAATCATGGCAGCAGCTGCTCCCAGTGGCAATGAATCCTATAATGCAGCTTAAAATAACTTGAGCAGCTGCAGTGCTTCTGCAACCTTCAGACAGCCCGCAGACCCAGATACGTCACGTCTATCTTCTGTGACTCGTTTTTCCGATTTTTCAAGTTTCATTTTAAGTTTTTCTTTAAGAATTTATGAAGGCAGTTTGTTCATATTTAGCAGTGTCTGCTAAGGCAAGTGTCACTGTTGCACATACTTAAGGTGAGGGATTTAAACAAACGTAAAGCCAAAGTATTAAACTCGGTATTATCTGCTACATAGGTGAACTGTCAACTGTGCTCAAATCATGTGGCTTTTTGAGAAAAGGTGTGCTGTTATTTTTTTAATAAGCCTGAGTTTTACCGTGGACAATAGTAGAAAAAAAATCACATTTAATTAAATTAAAGGAGGGAGCTGAGCCATAGAGATTGGAATATCAGTGTTGTACTCTTTTGATTTGTGTCAGTAAGCTGCCACCCTGAATACCTCGTACTAGCAAATGCACAGAACTCCCTAGCAACTACATAATAATGCGCTAAAAATAGAGAGACCACCTTATTAGATAGTGACCGATACTGATTTTTTAAGACTGATGATAACGATTTACCTTTGTAAACGTGTGAAAACCGATATGCTGTTTTTTTGTTTGTTTGTTTGTTTTTGTTTTTTTTTGCCTTTTGGGATAACTAATGAGCATGATTAGACTACAACAAACAATATGTATTTTGAAAAATCACTGTTGTTGTTAAGCTACACATTTCTAATTTGAGAAAAATGGCTATTACTAAAAAAAAGGATTTGTAATTATCTAAAAAATACATTGAATAAGTTTTAATAACATTAATAACTTTATCTGTTAATTAATACTGTTGTTAGTTGCCCCCCCCCCCCATCAAATAGCCATTTATCGTTTGACCCAATATTTTTAAAAGATCTTTTGTAAAGTTGTAGTAAATAAATTATGCATTGCTAATATTTGCACTTTTGTATACCGATATTCAGACTTTTGTGGTTTACTGACCGATTATTGGCAATGTAGCAATGCAATTTTCAGTTGTTGTTGTTTTGTTTTTTACCAATATTCACAAGTCTTAGTATCAATTTTTAAAATATTGTCAAAAGTATGAATATTGGTAAACAATATCTGTCAAACGGATCATCGGCTTATCTCTACACCTTAGCATTAGCAAATAGTAAGCATTAACGTTACCTCGCAGTAGAAAGTTGTATTTTAGCACTTACTCTCAGAAAAAAAGGTACAAAATCTGTCACTGGGGCTGTACCTTTTCAAAAGGTAAACTTTTGTCCAGTTTAGTTGCTAATATGTACATTTTAGGACAAGTGCTAATATGTTCATCTACTAGATTCTAATATGTACATTTTAGGTGCTAATTTATACACTTAGGTGCTAATATGGACATTTATTTGCTAATATGTACATTTTAGGTGCTAATATGGACATTTATTTGCTAACATTTACATTTTAGGTGCCAATATGTACATTTAGATGTCAGCATGTACATTTAGGTGCTAATATGGACATTTATTTGCTAATATGTACATTTTACGTGCTAATATGTACATTTAGGTGTCAGCATGTATATAGGTGCTAATATGGACATGTATATGCTAATGTGTACATTTTAGGTGCTAATATGGACATTTAGGTGCTAATAAGTACAATTAAGGTACCAATATGCACCCTTTAGATACAAAATCGTACCTTTTGAAAAGGTACAGCCCCAGTGACAGCTTTTGGACCTTTTTTCCTGAGAGTGTAATACCATTCTATTCAACCAATCTTTTTTGAATCTCTGTTAATACCCTTTTCTTGACTCTTCATCTCAGACTCAAAACATCATGTACGACCTGGTCTCGGACCTTAACGAGCGAGGTGAAGACATGGAAAAGAGGATTGGGTTGCTGGAGACCAAACTGGAGACATTGCTTAGCAACTTACAGGCTCTTCCGGGCCTTATCAGTCAGGTGATCAGCCAGCAACACCGGGACTTTCTGGAGGTGCAGCTCCAGCCATTTGACAAAAACGGCCACGAGCGCTCACAGTCCGTCTCCCGGCGCCGGTCGTCCTCCACCGCGCCGCCCACTTCTTCCGAAAGCAGCTAGAGCTCCCAGCCCAGCCGGCGTCTCCGGAGAAGACTTTCGCCATCATATGGCCAAGTTGCATTTTACTGTAAAGCCTTATGGTTTCAATAAAGTATTATCCAAATTCTGATGGCACCATCAGAGGTTACCGGGGATAATGCGTTTGAAATGGATAGCTTCCACACATATCTTGTCGTTTTTTTGTTTTGTTTTTTGTTTTTTTTACATCAATAAATGATGCTGTTTCTCTGTTGACATGATCACAGAGAGACTTTTCTCAGTAACTAATGATGGAAAGATGGGGCTATCAGGTGAGCAAGTCCTTCCAGAGGGCTTAATTCAGGAAAGCAATGTGATGACCTCAAACGGCACTGAATAGTGCCGGACTAGTGCTTCCTTCCGAATCGTCTGTCTCTGCGTATGTGAATGAGATCTGACCTGTTCCTAGAATCAACAGGCATTAATAACTCTTTATCGAGGAACTAATAGCATGTCTGAACCCAAAATGGGCAGATGAGGAATGCTTCCCCTCCCTGTCCAAATAGCGAAAACCCTAGATTTTCACTATCAAAGGAAAGCGTATATCTTTTAGGTTAGAAACGGCATCAGCTGTAGTGTTCTTCTGTTGTGAGGCCTCTAAAAGTGACTATTCCAGGGGCACTGTTCACAACAATTTACGAAATGAATGCATCTGAATCTATACTTGCACTTTTTATCATTGCACTTCAATGCTTACTGACTATAATACGAATTTATGTTGCTCATTCAAATAAACAGACACCTTTAGTTATAGGATAATGGCCAGAATGTACAACGGTAATGATTGTGTAGGCTACGGCAAGGGCAGCAATGACACCTCGACTGAAATGACTGTGCTTAAAATGTAGATGTTAGATCGCTGCTGTTTATGCACCAACGTTTCAAACTCTCCATTAGTTCCAAAGGCAATCTATGGAATAGCTGAGAGGAAACGCTCTCGGTTCACTGTGCGCTCTTCGCTTAAACGGTCTTCAAAACGAGAAGAGATCTACTGGATGCTATTTATAGATCTATTTGTAGATCTGTTTAAGAGCAGCAACTATCTTGTATATGTTTGGAAATGCCTATTTTTGTATATTAATGAGGACAAGCACACCTCCAGATGCGTATGTCTTTCTCGAAGGATGTGTGGTGAATAACTCTGTTTGAGTGTGGAAGTGGAATGTAGAACCAAAGCTTTCAAAATGGGCAGAAAGAAGGGAAACGGATGGCCGTCTGGAAAACCTCACGGTTCCCCAGTAAGCTGAACCGTACCATTGTTCTGTAACGTGTTTCTCTGGGATGGTCCTCTGGCATGTCCTGTGAATTCAGCCTCAGTTTTTTTCATACTGGTGTTAAAGGTTAAACAAATCCACAGCACAAATCAAAATAAAGGACTTTCATACTTATTTTCCAAGCAATCGGTCTCACGCCATTCTAAATGTGAACACAAATGTCTGTCTAATGCAAAGAATTGTATTTAGTGTGGAAGAGAATACGACCAGTACACCAAACTTTACTATCATTTATTGATAGCATGTTATTGATAGATCTGTGCACTTTAGATTCTAAAGAAATATGATGGGTTCATGTTGGATATATTGGTGCATTTCATAACCTGGCCCAGCAACAACACATCCCAGAATGTCATTAAGGGGTCACAGAACCTAACGAAACGATGGTGGATCCAGCAATTTCACCAACATAGAAACTATGAGTGATTAAATACTGTATGCAAAATGAATATAAACAATAAAATGAAGCTATTTAACAGAAAAATGTGTTTGATTATTGATGTTTTATATATTTCATGAAGTAGTCCCATGCCAATGTCGTGTTAGCTTTGAGGCTGTATGCCATATGCTAACAGTTAGCATTCTCTAAAATAGTGTTTCTCTTTTCTTCTTATTATTTTTTTGTACAATCAGTTACTTTCTAGAGCGAGAATGAATGCCCTCCAATTAATGCCAACTTCCTCAATAGGAAATAAGCCTGTTGGTTATTAAAATACCTGCATGGTTAAAATAAAATCCAAATCATTAGTTAAAAAAATACATTGCTGATGATAGGCCTGTATGGTCAGAGCCGTTACATTTCAACGGCTCTTACTGTTGAAGTAGCATATTATCTTATCCTTTTTGTGATGAGGCCATGGGTCCACAATAACCTTGTAAATCTAGCAACGTATTTATAATACATGTGTAGTGTACATAGTAGCTATGGTAGTCAATGGGGAATGAGATCTGTTTGATTAAACCATTATTCTAAATATCTTCATTTGTGTTCAGCAGAACAAATATACACATAGAGGTTTGGAACAACATGAGGGTGAGTAAATACTGACAGAATGTTCATTTTTGGGTGAACTAACTATCCCTTTTAATTTTTCCGATTTGAACTCGGAGGTACGGGTTTTCGCAGGTGGTGCAGCTAAAGGCAGCAACGGAGCCTTGTTATCACAAAGACAGAACGCCCCTTTCTCTATCTGTATGTATTGACATTTTTGATTGGTATTCCAAAATATCTGGAAAAGTGGAAGAACCCTATGGGAAGAACTGAAAGACGTATTTGCTCCTGTCCAGTAGGGGGAGCCATTTTGTCGGCCACGAGAAGAGGAAAACTATCGCGAGAACAGAGCGTGGCGTGAACAACTCATGGCAAAGCATGTCAACGGTGCGCTTACGAGCCAACACGCTGCTTAACTAAGTAACATCATTTTTTTATTTTTCAAGTAACGGCTTTGAAAGGACCAACGTCAAAATGAGTTTACTCGCCAAAATAGCCGAAATTGAGAACGAGGTGGGTTGACATTTACAGTAACGTCAATATATGAAAAATAGCCGTTAGCACGTTAGCGCCAAACCTATTCAACACTGAGTCCTGTTGCATTTCATAAATTAACTTGATATTCAATAAACCGAGAAGTCCAGTCTCACATAACAGTAAAAATTGTGAAATTATTTTGTTGTCTTGACATTGTCATTGTAAATGTGCGGTTTAATGAGCTGTCGGTGTCCTGCAGATGGCTCGTACTCAGAAGAATAAAGCTACCGCTCATCATCTGGGCCTGCTGAAGGCTAGATTAGCCAAATTGAGGAGGGAGCTCATCACTCCTAAAGGAGGCAGTGGAGGGGGCACTGGAGAGGGTCAGTGCTGCATAATCACACACAGATCCTGCAATATCTTGTCTCTGGAGCTTCATAGCCATGTTTTTATCAGGGAGTCCTAAATGTGATTAAACTGGTCTGTTTTTGCTTTGTTTTTTTCACTAACCTGGTTTTCCCCACAGGATTTGATGTGGCTAAAACTGGGGATGCCCGTATTGGGTTTGTGGGCTTCCCGTCAGTGGGCAAATCCACTCTTCTGAGTAACTTGGCTGGTGTGTATTCTGAGGTGGCTGCCTATGAGTTCACCACACTGACAACTGTACCAGGAGTCATCCGCTATAAAGGAGCTAAAATTCAGGTGAAACTCTTCGCACAAGTTTATCATATGCCAGGCAGATTGATTGTAATTGTGATATTTAAAAAGACACCATGCAGCTTTTTTAGCTTAAATGAACAGCTTCGGAGTTATTGAAATGGTTTTATGACTCCTTTCGGGCTGAATGGTGGCTCTCTATAAATTGACAAATATTTTATTTTAAATGGTTTTAAACATATCTTTGAATCTGATAACTGTTAATAATAATAATAATAACTTAAAAAGTGTAGGGAGCACCAAGCAGCATTTTGTAAAGCTTAAAAGACTATGTTAATTTTTTGAACATTGAACGTTTTGTAATCAAAAAGCATTTCTAATTAATTGAAATTGTTAAATGTATTCAGTTTATTTACAGTTTAACAAAAATGACATTTTTATAGCCTTATGAAAAAAAAAAAACTTTTATTTTGACGGGTTGCCGTGGAGATCTTTGAGTTTCTCTTTGTTTGTTTGAGATGATATGACGATAACTTTTCTCAGTTGAAGCATTAAAAAGCTCATGAAGTGACTACGCGTTTATGTTTATGCAATCATGTCCTCATATAATGCTGAGGCTATAAAACAGCGCTAGCGTCACACGTGCTCCAGTGTGTTTGTGTGTGTGGTAAATGAAATCATGCATCTGCGCCATTCATTTAGAGACATCAAGGTGCACTTTATGATAATATTAAAGCTTAAAGGGATATAGTTTTTGAAATTAACTTTTTCACTCAATGTCCAATTTTGATTTGATTTACTAAATTTGGCTGCTAAATTGAATTACCAGGCATTCAGAACCAAAAAGAAAGCGAAAAACCAGATTAACTAAATTACAGCTTATAAATATTTAGGCTTGATATGTGTATGTATAATATGGATTTCATATGAAGAGTTCAGATGCAAAAGCCTCTAAATGCCATTTGAAATTTTCTTCTTTAATGATGATTTTTATCAAACTTGTATATTTAAGTTCAGTAATTTCACTTAAATAACAATTAATAGGTAATTATCATTGCCATTTAAGTGAAATCACTGAACTTAAATATACAAGCTTGATAAAAATTATCATTCTAGAAGAAAATTTCAAATTTTTCTTAAAGGCTTTTGCATTTGTACTCTTCATATATTCATTTCTTATTCAAACAGTGTCACCTGTCACCCAGCCATCTCAAGTTTGACTTTTTATTTGTTGTATTAGCTTCTGGATCTCCCAGGTATCATTGAGGGGGCCAAAGATGGCAAGGGCAGAGGACGACAAGTCATTGCTGGTAGGTAACTAACACACAGACTCTCATTTGAAGACGCTTTCAGTGCACTTCTGTCTTTTTAAGTGTGCTTTAGTACCTGTTATGTTCTCTCACAAATCTTAGCGTTTCCCTAATCTTAACTCCTTCCAACAGTTGCTCGCACTTGCAACCTTATCCTGATCGTCTTGGACGTTCTAAAGCCTCTCGGACACAAGAAGCTCATTGAACATGAGTTGGAAGGTTTTGGTATCCGGCTCAACAAGAAACCACCAAATATTGGCTTCAAGAAGAAAGACAAGGGCGGAATCAACTTCACTGCCACTGTATGTCTTCAGTGTGCCATTAACCCACTAATCTAATGCATACATCTAGAAAAGCATTGTTCAAGTCACCTTTCTTACATAAAATGAACATAAAAAGCAAACATATGTGTATTTATAACATTAATCAAAAGTTTTTATTTTATGAAATACATTTTATTCCATTTCTAAACACTTTGACTTTGTTGGTTTAATAAATAGTAATTGCAATTTAAGTAAATGGTAATAAGTTATGTACTTTAATAATACAAAATTTTGTATTTATCATACAATATTGCAGTGTTGCTCATAATAGATTAATCATGTCATTATTTTTTTATATTATTAAAAATAATCTCTTCCTTCTAATATCCTGTCACTCAAATGAGATCATAGCAATTGGAAAAAGACATGTGCCAATCAATTCCAGATGGACAAAATCAAGTCATCCCGTCCCACTTTTTTTTTTCTTTTTTTTTGAAAAGCCTTTTCACAATATAGATCACAATAGAGAAGAAAATATGGTAGCAATTTTTCTTTCAAGCTGATTTTAATCTATTCAATTCTAATCAGTTGTGTTTACAGTTGTCATCATGCTTTTGTGTTTCAGTGTGCTCAAAGTGAGCTGGATGCTGAAACTGTGAAAAGCATCCTTTCAGAGTATAAGATCCACAACGCTGATATAACCTTACGAGGAGACTGCACAGCTGACGACCTCATTGATGTGGTGGAGGGAAACCGGTAGGACCATATTTACATCCTTCAACCTCAGTCATTCTCACTTCAGAAGAGATTGTTCACATGGTTTTAACCTCTCCTCTAGGGTTTACATCCCCTGCATCTACGTACTCAACAAAATCGACCAGATCTCTATTGAGGAGCTGGATGTTATCTATAAAATCCCTCACTGCGTGCCAATCTCAGCTCACCACCGCTGGAACTTTGACGACCTGTTGGAAAGGATCTGGGACTACCTGCAACTAGTGCGCATGTGAGTTACATGTTCCACTGAGCTCGTTGTAATGCGTTCTGTGATTGCATGCTTAGAATGTGGCCAGAACAACTTGAATGAGGGAGGACTGGGTACCTGGCAAGCAAAAGTTATTTGCTGTACATATTGTAGCCCCGACTAAATATTTTTCTAGTCGATTAGTAGTCATTCATATAATCCATTAGTCGAATAATCGCAAGATTAGCGACGGCACAAAGCGCGACCTGATTAGGGTTATAACGGTACATGTATTCGCATTGAACCGTTTCGGTTCGAGGCTTCTGGTTCGGTACGCGTACAAACCGAACGATTCCTTGGACCATTTTTCCCACCTACAAAATTCGTGCTGGTGTGACCACCACAACGTTGCGCAACATCAAATGGCAAGCGTAATGATAGCGTAGCGAAACTGCGCTACTCATTATGTGCTTCACGGATCGTTTACATCTGTGCAGCGCAAGCCGATCTCGATCAAGCAACACTGTTACTACACAGCGCTAAGAGATCCAGTAAAGAAAACATTTGAGTTCGCCACTGAAGTAATAACATCGCTGCAAGATCTAGTGAGATTGTGCCGTGAATGAACTAGTAATACTTTACGTCCACAGACCAGCAACATTCACCATTGAGTCAATACATAGTTCCCACAGGCAAAAAAATTGTCACGTGACCTCCCCGGAGACGCCATCTTTGAGGGCAAAACCGCTGTGTTTACCATAGGCGTTTACAACGTTTTATCAGAGAATGTCGTTTTACAAACAAATATTTATGTCT